CATTCAGAAACTTATTTAACTATCCGAGAAGTTAGTTAAGAACTAGAAATAGAAACTGATACTACCTAAATCTTCAGTTATTTTATAGCTTTGTCCCAGTATGGGTCACACCCTTTTATTCCACAACCTTTCTCTGCAACTAAGCAGACTCTTCGATAATCTAACCCTGCAATTAAAGAACATTTGAAAACACATCCATACATTTTTGCTTCTGGCCTTAAGCAGAGTCTTCACAACCGGAAAGAATTAATGCCCCCTTTCAGTCACTACCTAACACCTGAGAATCACTGAATGGGGTAGAGATGCGTGCAGTGCAAACTTCCTTTCTGTTTCATTCCCTTCTAATAGCTAGGTAGGAAGAGAACATTTTTAAAAGGGTAACATGAATTGACAGGTGGAAGTCACCATGCTCAAGTTACTGATCCAAGTTTGGATGTCATTATTAAAAAAAAAACAAAAAAAAAAACAGATTAAGATTTGAAGGGCATGAAAAAAAAACTAAAAGCAGGTTTAAGTCAGAAAATTATGAAAATTTCTTCAGAGTAGGTATATTTTTACTTACATGAATTATAATCTTAAATAAATACTCACATACACATTCATATCCCAAGCTCAATTTGGCAGGCTGTTCGAGTGCCATCTGGGAACCAGATTTCTGAGAAATGACTTTATAGTATTGCCGCAAAATCAAGCATCCTTTTGAAGCTCTAGAGAACAGTTAAATCCTTAAAATATCGTTTTGAGCCTCCTTTATTTTCATGACAGAAATATGTTAACACTAATTGTTTCCAACTACTGTTCCTTTGTCAAATAGTATGTGTAAAAAAAAATCAATTTCTGTACCCTCCCTTTGACAGACATCTTTTAAAAACTGAAAATCACCATTTACACCTAAAATATTAATAGCCTAGATGGAAGAGTGGGTCTGTACTAGAAAATAATTTTTCTTTGCATAAATGCAATAGCGTGCTCAAAAGCATGGCCATCCTGTAATTGTATTATGAACAGAATGCATCTAAGGAAGTGCTAAAAACTGGATTGGAATGATAAGGGGGTAGAAAGAAGAAACATGTTTACAATCTGTTCAAATTCTCAGCTTAAAAATTTCAATATGTAATTCGTTAGGGCAATGGTTTAAATACGGGACTTTGTTTCGGAGCCAAGTTGCTAAAAATATAAAATTAAAACCTTTAATATTCAACTCTGCCTTTCTGCCAACTTTGATGCCTCTAATACAGGACAACCTCCAGACCACTCTGTTGAGCTGCTTTCTACGACAAGCAATTGCTTGGTGCCACTGAATGACCAGATGCCACCCCAAAGAGCATGACATTTGCTATTGGAGCTCTCCAGGGCGCTGTGGCGTGATGCTGGGGTGAGGGTGCTTACTCTGCCACAGGCCTTCTATAGAAAGTGTGCAAAGACAGCTCCGTAGGAGTCACACCACCTCTTCTCTGTGGATCGTGTTTCTGAGTTCAATATGGGATATTTAGGAAATGGTTAATAATAATGATACCATTATTCATTGGTACAGGAGCTAAATTTCATGGCCTCGGTAAACATCTCACCTAGGGTAACTTCAACCTCAATCTACTGTAATTCATGAAGGCAAACTCACGAACTTGCTTTTCCTGTTGGGGAAAAGAAAGTGTCGAGATGAACCCTACTCATTCAAGTCAGGAATGTCAAAATTAAAAGTATTAACTGATATTTGAGTATATGCAGTCCTAAAATAAATGAGTAATTCAAACACACTTGGAAAAGTTCAAACTACTTCTTACAAGAAGTAATTGTTAGAAAATTTAGATCACGGGGTGCCTGGGTGGCTTAGTCATCAAGCGTCTGCCTCCGGCTCAGGTCGTGGTTCCAGGGTCCTGGGATCGAGCCCCACATCGGGCTCCCTGCTCTTTGGGAAGCCTGCTTCTCCCTCTCCCACTCCCCCTGCTTGTGTTCCCTCTTTCACTGTATCTCTCTCTCTGTCAAATAAATAAATAAAATCTTTAAAAAAAAAAAGAAAATTTAGATCACGTATTAATATGTATAATTATAGAAATATAGAGTACCCTAGTTCTGTTTGGCCAGTGGAAAAGTTTTTATTGCAAATCTGTAGTTGCTGGAAAATAAGTTTTTGTAGTTAGGGTCTGGATTTTTGAAATTATTGACTAGCAACATCTCTCTAAATTGGTTGCCTCTGCTCCCCCCCCTCATTGCTACCCCACACAACTCTCCTGGCTCCGAGCGCCATCCATGTTTTTTTGGGGGCGGGGGAGAGGGGTTGGGTTTTTTTGTTTTTTTTTTTTTAATCACTGCTGCCCTCTAACAAGAAATACCTCATGTTTGCCAGCATGGAGGTTTATCAACTGTCCTCTCCTATTTGGTTTCAGCGTGTCATACAAACACGCATGTTAGATCACACTCATCTATGAACCTCATGCAGTCTTAGCAGATGAGCTCTGAGAGAGCATTTAAAATAATCGAGTACTTTGCCCCATTTTTGCTAGTTTTAATGTATACAGATGAGCAAAATAATGTCAAGTCTACTTGACACATTACTGCACATTCAAGTGATAATGAGATTTCCTTTTTAAATGGGCAAACATACTACCATGGAAATACATAAATGATTATAGTAATATGGGTAAAAAGTTACATTTTAGCAGAATGTAAAGTCAGTCAGTAGCCTTCATTTCCACATGATTAGCTTGCTGGCAGAGTGGAAATAAGGAATTTTAAGGCTAAGTCAGGGTTTCTCAACCTCAACACTACCGATATTTGGGGCTGGAAAATCCTTTGTTATGGCGACTATGCTGTCCATTAAAGGGTATTTAGCAGCATTCCTGACCCACGAGATGCCAGTGGCACTCCCAGCCCAACTATATCGACAAAACTATCTCTCGACCCTGCCAAACGTCCACTGGGGGAACAAAACTGCTCCCAGTTGAAAACCACTAGTCTAACCAACACCAAGTCCTTTAATCTACAATAATGATAGGAGGGGATCTGACCTACAGAAGTCTCCGCATTATATAAGAAAACTAAAAACTAAGAAAAACGTGGATATTTAGTAACCAATAATTTGCTTTCCCATAAACTTGCTTCCTTTTATAAAATTGCAATCTCAGGGCAGAAGAGCCATAGCCAACATTTTTAAATAAGCCATTTGTCAATTTGCTCAGGTCTCATAACTGGGAGGCTCCTGGGCTTCCACTGTGGCAGGCCCAAGGTCAAGCCCTGGGCTCTTTGGTCCAACAAGATGGAATTATCGGGGGAAATGTTCCTAAGCAGAGTCCAGGCTCTCAGGCTTTCCTGTTAGTACTACCTAGGCACACCTTTATGAACTTGTGGTTTCCACTGAAACAAGTTGTTCTGCTTACTTCCTACTACAGCTCTAACGACGTGACCTCCCAGTTTCAGTTTGTCAGTGATTTAATTTCCCTCGAGACTGAACCCAGGTACTGATTTTTTTCCTAAACACTTTAGAACCAACATCTCACGAAGCAGATTCCAGGCAAGTTTTGCTAGGAGCATTCTTGGAATTGGAAGCCAACAAACATGTTTTGCCTAATCAGTAGCCTACTCAAACATCTGCTACAGAGTTTCAAAACAGTATGATTGGGGAGGGCTGTTTTCCTTAAGTTGTCCCTGTTTGTTGAGAATAAAGCACTTTCTAAGTGAAAACTTTTTTTGCCCATCAGATAAGTCTCAGAGAAGGCTGATCAGGAAAAATAAAACAAAGTCATCCATGCAGTTATTTTTCATGGATATCAAGCATGACCTCAAAACACCGCAGAAGTAAACATGCCATTTTGGTGATGAAATTTAGGAACAAGCTATCTTCCAATTAATCAGAAATGCAGACAGACCCATTCCTGCTATGTACTTACCAAGGCTGTGTAGTTTAGAAATGCTAATTCAACAGAACTGGAAGCATATAAGTCCAAAATGGCTTGTTCGTTTAAAAATACGTAGTGTTATGCTTTGAAAAGATGAATTCTATCTCAACTTTTAGCTTGATACTTATACACAGGGTTATTTTTCTTTAAGAAAAATTATTGGCCATTTTTAAGATTTTACCATCAATTCTTAAATAGCTTTAAAGCTATTACAACAGGATATCAACCATATAAACTAAATCTTTGTCTAAAATGGTAGAAACTAATCTTTCCATTTCTATTATTTCTACAGCTAGAATAAGGTATTTATATTCTCCTTTTAAAAAATGTTAATTAGCTTTAAGGGCCATGATAAAGAGTCATTTCTACAAAATTAAATCATTTTCCTACCACGATTATCTGGTAACACGAGTTTATTCTGATTCACTGAAAGCAAATTAGATTTATAGGGGGGAAAACAATCCCATAGGAGCTTAAAACCAGATTTCCTGAAACCATACACTCCTACATGACACCATTTTCCATCTAAAACACAACAGAGACACCTGCACACATTTTCACCCCACTTTCACTTTCTCATCCATACTATTAAAATAGTGAAAAACAGTTCATTTTTAGAAATCATCCACAATTGACAAGGTCATTAGCATTCCATGTTGGTGCCAGGCATCGCTGCCTTCCAAATTACAAAAGAAAGTCTCTTTAACCACTGTCTCAGTCTCATTTTTGTAGTCTTAATTCCAAATATATAAAGATCATGTTAAAATCATTCTTTTTACTCTGTAAACTATAATATAACCTCTAAAGTCACTCTATAACGTGCACCCTCACCATTAGCAACCAAACACTACCATGTTGGACAAGCATTAAACTATAAACTACCATTTTAGTTTTATAGAGAGTTAAAATAACAACATGCCATGGTCTCAATCACAGACAGCTTCACATTCATAGTCCCTAAGCTATTTTTTAAATAATCAGTTTTGGAATGAGAACAGAGGAAGACAGAGGAACGATTTTTCAGTAATCATAAAATCTCAGAAATTCTTTGCACTTCGGCCACAAGCCCTAAGCTGAAAAAACAGATAACAAACCACTGAAACTTACCTGACAGTGACTCGGTTTGATAAATCCTGTAGATCCCCAGGATGGAAAAGCTGGGCTTCTTTCAATCCAATCTGTTCACAAGCTTTCAAAAAAACGTTTATATTATCCTGTGAAAAGAAGTGGAAAGTGATTGCTTAGCCGAGCTCTCTCTCAAACAAAGGGTACAGATTTTTATGATAGAACTTCTAGGCTTCAAAGTCCAATTACAGCCAGCAAAAAAGAAGGCAGCAAGACTGATGCATACATTTTTTTTTTAATTACATGGGCATGTAAAGCCTTTCAGTCTTGCAGAGCATAAACAGTAGTGCTAGCTTATGCCTGGGCATACGCTGTTCTGTGATCTTTGTGACCGGCACGTTAAACATTACCTGTTACAGGACAAGTGCCTAGCCACTGAGCAGTAATCTACACTTTGATGTCAGCTCTGCTCTGCAAACAAACGCCCTCTTCTCAGCTTTGCACGACAAGCCTCACCTCTCCTCTTTAAAAATAACTCCAGCTACTGACATTCACCCACCCAGAAACTGTTGGCAGGGAAGAAATAAGAGGAGGAACATTCTGTTTCTATGATTACAAATTGCAGAACGACTGTGGAATACCACACCTGGAATCTGGGTTCGGTTGCTGAGCTGGCTCTTGACAGACAGGGAAACCATACTATAGGACCCAGGAGAAGCCTAATGTTCATTGGCCAGATCACATAGTTTAGGTGTGGTACATTATTCACACCCTGCACCTGCTTCAGGAACTGCCTCCAACAAAATGAAAATCTAGGTTGTCCTCCTAGCTAATTTCAAAAACCAAAATCCTCCTTTCACAAACCAATGCTTTTCATTCCTGTCAACTGCTGCCCAAACACTGGCTACTACAGACGCACATTTGGTGAGCAGAATCAGCTGGAGCTTCCCTCTTCTCTTTTAGGAGGTTGAGCTTGTGAAGATCGCATGGGGACTCTACCGTCTCTTTATTAGGACTCTCGGGGAAGAGAATGGCCTGCTAGCATGCCAACACACATTCAAGCACTTGTACACACTGGCACCACCACATCTGTAGCGAGAGAGGGCCTCCCTGAAAACTCACCTCCTTAACGGCTGGCTGTGAGGAACCAGAAGACAGCGTGCCCCTTGGAGAAATACAATTACTCTTGTCCCATATGGAGAAGCTCATCCCCATGAGAAAAGGCAGGGTGGCCCAGCAAAGTGGGAGGGAATGATAGAGAAGCCAGGATGAAGAGGCTAAATTCAACAGCATGGATTCTTGGAGAGTGAGGGGGTTTAGGGAAAGGGTAAGCAAATGTATGGCAAGAGAAAAGCTATACTGACTATTAGGGACTAAGGGACATTCAAAACAAAGTATTCGTAGAGAAGAGAGGTTATTTTAGTGTACTATCAGTAGAAAGCAGTGTGAACTACACAACTGAAAGTTGAAATCCATGCTTATTTTTTTTTTCTCCCAAGATTTTATTTAAATTCAAGTTTATTAACATATAGTGTAGTATTGGTTTCAGGAGTAGAATTTAGGGATTCATCACTTACATACAACACCCAGTGCTCATCCCAACAAGTGCCCTCCTCAATGCCCATCACCCATTTAGCCCAGCCTCCCCAACACCTCTCCTCCAGCAACCCTTTGTTTGTTCTCTGTAGTTGAGAGTCTCTTATGGTTTGCCTCCCTCTCTGTTTTTCTCTTATTTTTCTTTCTCTTCCCATATGTTCATCTGTTTTGTTTCCTAAATTCCACATATGAGTGAAATAATATGGTATTTGTCTTCCTCTGACTCATTTGGCTTAGCATAATACACTCTAGTTCCATCCTTGTCACTGCAAATGGCAAGATTTCATTCTTTTTGATGGCTGAGTAATATTCCATTGTGTATGTATGCCGTATCTTCTTTATCCATTCATCAGTTGATGGACATAATTTGGCTACTGTGCAATCCATGATCATTTTAAATAAGAGTCTGAAGATTAAAAGAATTTATAAGTCAAAAGTTGAACAACTCAATGGAAGGTGTTTGATCTGACTTAGTGGAAAAAGGGGGGAATAATATGTTGGCAAAATTCCAGAAAGAGCAAAAGTGATCATTTTGTTAAGCTCACATAATTTTTAAAACCTATACTATCTCATCACTCAATTATTCAAATTAATGGTTCTAAAACTGGCCTTCAGAGAAGTAGACAAGAACAAATGGCTTGGTGTCCTAGTACCCCAAATCCTACAGGAAGAAAAGCACATTTCTAAAGAGGAAGAAAAACCATTAGAAATAGTCCCACAAAAAGAAAGGGGGGAGGGAGAAGGAGAAAAGAAAAAAAAAAGAAGTCTTCCCACAAATTCATTGTGGTTCTGAATGTTTAAAATGTTATAAAATATTATGACAAAGTTAAACTGAAAGTAAACCTATTGAATGGACAGCCAAAATATTTCTTCATGTGTTTTTTAAAAACATAATAGCATTCATCTGGTTGACAAATATGTACCTACTGATGAGAATAAATAAAGCCACATATGCCTCAAAACCCATCCACCTAATTTAGAAAGAAACCACTTCAAATCTAGAGTGATTATAGTTCGAGACAATAAAAATAGATTATGATTAAATTCTAGTTTTAAATAAAGCCATTACATTAAAAAGCAGTTTCTTTTAAAGAGTTCGATGATGCTCAAGACAAACTTTACAAACAAGGCCCCACAACATCCTATGCAGCAGGAACAAGTTGTATTAAGATCAGAATTGCAACGTAAATCCTGCTTACTGGACTTGAGCCCATTGGTAATTTATTTTTTGTGATTTCAAAAGACCTAGGCAGAGAGTTGCCTAAGGGGAGATACAAAATTATAAAATAAACTTTTAGTATCTGTTGGAACATCAAGAAGCCACACCCCACTCAACATATTAAAAGGGAAGCATTTAGTCTTCAATAATGGGATCATTTTCACTTGAAGCCAGCAAAGATAAAGTAAAAACAAAGGACAAACATGAAACATCTTCTCATTGGACTGTTAGCCAGGACTCCAAGTTAGCTCGGCCACTAACCAACTGTGTGGCTTTGGAAACATTCATCAGCCTTTCTGGCCCCATTTTCCTCATCTGTGAAATGAGTAATTTCTGGATCTGTACCCCACATTCCCTAGGGCACACAGCTCTCTGCAAAGGAGAGGAAGGAAGGGAAGCCCTCTCTAACCCAACCCTCAATACTTCATGTCAAAAGCCAGCACCAAGCTTCTGCACTTCTACACACTGAGGACCAAAAGTGGCTTCACAAAAACAAAACAAAAGGAGATCTGCAATAGCTCCTTTCAGAGTCGTTTATCTAGGACATGAATAAAAGCAGACTATTTAAACAGACAAGGCAGGATGGCTTAAGATTTTCATATTCTCCCCCAAACCCTTTCCACCCCTTAGCCTTGAATCAATTACAAAGTTAATCATAACAGGTGGAGGGGGCGAGGGTAAATGAGAGAGAGATTAGTGAGTCAGGAACACTATTTGCTCACAACTGAGGAAAGATAAGGAATCCACAAAAATTTACAATATTCCCAGGTTTATATTAGTCCACTGGGGACTAATTTAGAACATTTCTATGGGATCTTAACGCCCCTCTGTCTCCATTACACATCCTGAAGAGAGTCATGAGAAGGAGAATGTGAGGCCAACATGAATATTCTAACACTAGACCCAGAGGTAACATGGGTCTTTCATGACATGAACCCTTCCAGAGCCTTTCATCCCACTTTCTTTCCCCCAAGCACTTATCCAGTACCATAGTCTCATGTCATTTCAGCAGATCGCTTTGCTCTCCTATCAGGGATGGAGGTAGCTGAGGAAAGTGTCAAGGGCCCAGAGTTGATTGAATATATTTTAGCATATGTGCTGCCGAAGCGAGCACGATTGAATGTATTTTAGCAAGTTCCTAAATATCAGTCAATATAAGGGCTCTCTCATTTTGTTATATTTTTCTCCTCATCGCATGCTCCCATTCACTCCCACTGCTCTTCATTAAAAGGTGCTAAGAATGTACCCTAAAGAATTCAAGAGTTCCCCAGACAAGTACATGTACGTGTGCACGTTGATAGCAGCACTATTCACAATAGTCAAAAGGTAGAAACAACTAAAACATGTACATGAACAGAAACAGATAAACATATTGGGATATACTCATACAATGGCATATTATTCACCCATAAAAATCAAGTACTGATACATTCTACAGCATGGATGAACCCCCAAAACATGATGCTAAGGAAAAGCTAAACACACAAATGTTACCTACTCCATTTATGTGGAATATCCAGAATAGATCAATCCTTAGAGAGAGGATACAGACGTGGCTGACAGGAGTTGGGGGAGGGGGAGGATGGAACAGGAAGTAAGATGTTTTACTTGGGAGAGATGGAAATGTTTGGTGGCTGCTCAACACTGAATTGTTCACCTTAAAATGGCTACTGTTGTTATGTGAATTTCACCTCCATAAATTATTTTTTAAAGGTGCCTTCTATAATGTGCTTAAAAATCTAAATGTCCTTTAAAGTGTAGATTCACTTATGTATCTCACTTACATAAATGGCATCATGGTATACATTTTTCTCTTTCACATTCAACCATTTTTGTTACACAAAAGTCTAAATCCTCATTAAAGTCTATGCTATACCTCCCTAGGATCTTTCGCTGAACAAAGTCATTTTCATTTTCACTTGGAGAAAGTTAAAAAATGTTTCTTTTATATATTTCTCTTAAATATATCTTTAATGATACAATTTCAAGACTTCTAACTTACAGAGGGAATACTTTGTATCAAGAAACCTAAAATGTCACAGCAAATGGGGAATGTCTACTCACAGTATCAAACCAGTTAGACCTACTTCTGCAAAAATTTCCTGAGTGTAGAGGGTCAAGAGCTGTCATCAATAAAAATGGATTCTTTAAATAAAGACAAAGAGATTTATTACAGAAGCCCTGAATAAGATCAAAATCCTAACCAATTCTGAAAAAGAGTAAAACTGTGCTCAGGGCTATGACTGTATAGTCAAAACGGCCATACAGTCACCACCTTAAACCAAAGCTGCCAGAATGACGTCACGTGGACGTGGGCCCCATCCGTGAACCAAA